GCTTGAATTGGAATGAAAAAGGTGCCAGTACTCTAAAATCAGCAACTTTTTCAAGTCAATTTTATATATACAGCCCACAAACAAGAATTTGGCTACTATAATGCTGGTGGGTTTGTCTCTTTACTACTGTATGTGAAGGTAAACTTCTGTTGTTGCAATGTTGAGATAGAATGAAGGAGTCTGGAACGTCGATTAGTCAAAGCACTAAGAGTTTATTGATCACAGTACATTAATTACATACGGCCGGGAGATCATCTTAGTTTCCCACCGTCCCGTGGTCCACCAAGATCATTTCTGCCCCAGAATAGACCCAACACGCATCAACATGAGGAAAGGCGGGCTCACAGAAAGCCCGCGTTTACCTAATCAATAGCCGATGAGAGACAATGAACTACTTGTCTCAAGAGATGCAGATAGCCTGAAACCTTCCCCCCACAGGATATGGGAGAAGCGTTTGACCTGTGACCTCAAATTACACAGGAGTCTTTGACTGACTACAAGCAGATGTTTGCAGTATCACAGATTCTATAAAACAATAAGAAGCTCTATAAACAGATCAGATTAAAATATTCTCTTACACTGTATATTTTAGAAAGGTTCACTGTACTTAACATTTTTTATGATAGGCAGCGGATATGGCTAAAGCTCAGTAAGGTCAATATTAACTGAAAATATAGCAATCAAAGTCTAGATCTTCTGCTGAAGACACATGAAGCAGAGACCTTTCAGGTGAGAGCCCCTCTGGTGGTGTTCAACATTAATGACAAGGAAACAAAGCTCTGGTCAGAAGCATTTTTTATAAAAAGCTTTAACAAAATTAAGTATTTCTGTACATTTTGAATGCAATCTAACTTTCCAACTCAGAAAACGAAAAACGAAAAAGTGCCAAAAGTCTTCTCACATGGCTGAGCTGCTTTGCAATATACTTCACCACTGAAGAATACAAATATGTATAAAGTAAACTATGATGCAATCTAACTTTCCAACTCAGAAAAATGATAAAGAGCATGAACAAAGAACATGTAAAAACAAATGCAAAATGTGCACAATCTAAAATGAGAAACTGTAACTGCAAGTAACAAAGTCTGAGCCATGGTAAAGAGTTACATTGAACACCAAGCTGATCAGATAACTCCCTGGTTGGTCTGAAGTCCTTCTATCTCCAGGATCTGTACAAATCGGCACATTATGCCAAAAGACTTCTCACTGGGTGAGCTGCTTTGCAATATACTTCACATTGTTAGAAAAGGCTCCAGAAGGCCTTGGGGACATCAGTATCAGGGGCTGGAGCTGGACAGGCTCTTTCATCAGCACTTCTCCTTCCCTTTGCCAGCCAGGACCTCACATACTGTTCCGGATTGAACTGTCCTAGTGATGGTCCATTACATTTAATGAAAACCAGGCTGGACAGTCGGCTGACAGAGAGAGCATTCCTTTTTGCAGTAAGGATATCGTTCATGCAGCTGAATGCCCGCTCACACTCACTAGTGGAGACAGCGATGGTTCGGACTGCTTTCAGTAGAGGCTCCATGGCAGCAGGTGTACGGGATGCCCTGGTTTCCTTGTATTCGCGAAAGCCCTGAACAGTCTCTCTTCTGTCCACTTTCAGCACTTCGCACAAACGTAGCACCTCTACGTCCCCATACTGTACGTCTAACTCCTCTTCAGGCCAACTTCCAGGATGGATAACTTTCATGTCCTGGATTAGCTGATTGTCCCGGGCCTCCCGGCCATGTAAAGGGATTTCTCTTGTGCTGACATGAGAGGAGGTTGTGGAAGTCATTCTGTGTCTCAGATTCTCTACCATACTGTGGAAAAACTGACCTGCATGAATCTGTACAAGCCTGCCATTCTCACGCAGGGCAACACCCTTGAAGGACTTCTCAGCTAGAGCTGTATGAACTGTAGTCATGTGTGGGCCAGGCATGGTGACCATGGATTCAAAAACTCGTATTTCTCGAGTTAAGAGCCTATCTGCTGTAAGCAGTGTCATCTCTCTTTTTTGGAGTTGCCGAGAGAGGTCGCTGAGCTCTGTGAGCGCATCGTACATCAGTCCCAGATTGCTGACAAACGTTGCAGATGTGAGCACATCATCCAGGCCCTTGTACTTTGCTCTGTCTCTGGAATCCCTGCTCGTGTCGTTTGCAGCATTTGTGAAGTGATCATGAAGCACTCGGTAGTTTTCCCAGACTGCTCTGACGCTCCTTTCACTTGAAGCCACCCAGCGGATGGACAAAACACGCCCTATCACCAGGAGACGCTGTCCGACTGTTTGCGCACACTGCGCTAACTGCCTCTGATTTTTGGGGGAGGCATGGAACAAGGAATAGAGTTTGTCAAAAAAGATCTGGAAATGACTGAGCCCTGAGACCTCCTTGACCACATCCCCAACTGCCAGCTCTAGACGATGATTGGAGCAGTGCCACACAAACCGGCTTGGGAATTTACTACACAACTGGGTAGCAACGCCTGTTCTCTTCCCTAGCATGACTGAAGCCCCATCACATGCAAAAGAAACGAAACACTGACCTAAAAAGTCCTCGTTAAAATCTCTTCCAAGACACTCCATTAACGCCTTTGTGATGTCATCAGCCGTTGTTCCATCCAACTCGATCAGCTCCCAAAAAAAACGTTTCGGGCTCAGCATCAGCTAATGCTGAGCGTAGACACACAACAAGCACCGTTTTACCACTAATAGTGGTAGATTCATCGACCAAAACACAGAGTTTTCTTTGCTTTTCTGTAATGTCTTTTGCCATTTTTTTCTTCAGCTCATGAGCTATGTGGTCGATGATTTCGCCACAGGTTTTATTGGAGCGCAAAACCCTGCCCACGTTCAGCCCATTCAGTTTCTGTACATTCAAATCAATTGGCATGTCTGTGAATGGCCGGCTATGTTTGCCAATTTTATATGCCGTTCGAAAAACTCTGATAGTGGTGTCTAATTCAGATTTATGCATAGACTGCACTTGATGTTGAATAGTTTCACGTGAAGCAGATGTAAGGATGTCAGCAGCTTTTACATGGGCTTGTGATTCTTTATGTTCTTTGATTTTTTTTCTCAGGCTAGCTTGTTGTTTGCCCTTGTCAACACCAAAATGAGACACTGCACACTCACCCCATTCAGTTGACAGTTTCAGTCCTTGTCCAGTGTGTATTCCCAAAGATTTGACCTCTCTGCATATCCGACATCCTAGCTTCTTATCTTTAAGAAGGAGCCATGCATTGGTCTTGCAAAAATATTGCACCTGGTCCGTTGTCCAGCAGTCAGGTGCATCGCTTTGCCCGGTGTTGGTGGTGGCAGTTGCGCCAGCAGCAGCTAACGTTAGAGGCTCTGGAGGAGGCGGCGGAGCTATAGTGCTAATGCTAATGCACTAGAACTTGGAGCAGGAGGATCAACCAAAGAAAGCTCCCCATCAGACACAATTTCCAACACAGGCACAGCATTCTCTGTATTTGAAGTTTCTTCCGGCGACAACCGCTGTCTTTTTGCACTTTTATTAATCCACGCTAACATTTTAGAAATGCTAATTTGTGACGTGACTTGCTTTCCTTCTCTCGGGGGCGTGCCTGCTCTGTTCTATCACTCTACATAGCCACCCACTGAGTGGGAGTTGCACTGCATAAACACAACACACGTGCATCTAGGTATGTAAATTGTAAAGCATTAAAACATGGTTTTACTAACAGTTTTCAGTATGTTGTTACTTCGGCATTATTATTATTATTATTATTTTGAAACGTGTATTACTATTAAATCACGGTCAAATAGGTTAATTTTGACATAGTCGTTTCCACCACAGTATTTACATGGAGAAGATAAGCCCCGCCCCCTCTCCAGCACGTTCTGTTTGAATGACAGGAGTAAACAGCTGACAGCCGCTGTGAAACTCCAGCGGTTAGAGCGATGAGAATGTCCGTTCGGCACCTCATGAGTACCGGGTATCTACTGAGTATCTACTGAGTACCGGGCGGCTGAATATGGATGTATAATAAGAACGGCGGGAGAGTGTTGAGTACTGGCACGGTGCATGAGTACCGGAGTACCGCCAGCATGCCGGTACTGAGCAAGAAGTGCCGGTACTCCATGGGTCAGAACCAGAAGTGCCGGTACTGCGTACCGGTGAGTACCGGCCCAATTCCAGCACTGACTCTAACATGGCTAACACCGACTGATAAACAGACCATACCGTTTTTTACAGAGGGACAGTAGATGTTGTTGTTGTTGTTGTTGTTGATACCATGGGGCCGTTCTCCTTAAACATCCATGAGTCAGCTGAGATGCGTTGATGCAGAAGTGGTTAGGGTGGTTAAATCTCATCTGGGTCGGAAAAACGCCACTGGGATAGAACTGTAGAAGTCACCAGTAGTTCTGTTCCTGGTACAGAGGCATTGTGGGTATTGTAGTTCCCAGAGGGTGTTTCTGATGTGTTCCTATGTGCAGCTCTTCCTGTTGGAGGAGATGAGGGAGAGGAAGTATAACGGTTACGCTCGGGTCATCCAGAAGGCCTGGCGTAAACACATCGCCGTCCGGAAGTACGTGAAGATGAGGGAGGAAGGTAAGAGGTCTTCTTTGGGGTTCAGGTTCAGGGTCTCTATGTTACGTCCTCCTCTCCACTAACAGACCTCTGTTCCCTCCAGCCTCCGACGTGCTGCTAAACAAGAAGGAGCGCCGCAGGAACAGCATCAACAGGAACTTCGTGGGCGACTACCTCGGCACCGACAACCACCCCGAGATCCGGCAGTTCGTCGGCCGCAGAGAGAGGATCGACTTCGCCGACGTGGTGGTGAAGTTCGACCGCAGATTCAGGGTCAGGACTCCGAAGGGCCAGAAAGAAAGGGTTTACGTTTCAGACTTCCTCTGTTTGCCTTTATAATACTCTGCTTCTGTTCAGACGGTGAAGCGGGACCTCATCCTGACCCCCAAGTTCCTGTACCTGATTGGTCGAGAGAAGGTGAAGCAGGGTCCGGATAAAGGCCAGATCCAGGAGGTTCTGAAGAGGAAGATCGAGATCAACAAGATCCAGTCCGTGTCCCTGAGGTACACCACTGTTCACAACCAGAACCCAGAACTGTAACTAGAACTATGACTAGAGCCATAACTAGCAATAGGACCATGCCTACACTTAGAGCAAGAGCTGCACCGACCACCAGGGACAAACCTGCAACCCAAACTAGTCCAGGAAAAGGCTTTCATCAGAACTAAAAACAAGAACTAGGACCAATAGAACCAGATTTGGAGGTAGGACTGGAACCAGGTCTAGGAATTGAAAATAAGGTAAAATCTACGACTTTAGACAAAACTGAACTAGAACTAGAAGTACTAGAATGTTGAATGAAAGTCTTGAATGAGAACTCAAACCGGGATTTGTGGGGCGACTGGCTGTGAGGGTGCATGGTCCTCTTTCACCCAGAAGGTTGTTGGTTCGATGTTAGCCCAGCTGTCCACATGTAGATGTTTCATTGGGCAATATTCTGTAACCTGAGGTGCTCCAGACGGCCAACGCTGTGTGACTGTTAGCTTGAATGATGACTTGTAGTAACTGTCAAGTCCTTCAGGCTTTTGGCCTGTATTCAGTGATTTAGCCCGAACTTGAGAGGCTGGAGGGCAACAGAGGCATTTTGTTCTTTTTTGTCTTTATTTATTTTAAGACAACTCCAAGAATGTATCAGGTTGCCTCATTGCATTCTCAATAATAATAATAACAACACAAACTCAGTCTCATTCCTGCCTTTTCAGGGTATTTTAATTAAAAGGATCAATTGTGAGTTATTTTACAACCGCATCATTAACTTAAATGAATTCATAAGAGTGTTTATCTCTACTTGGAAACAAGCACCAGAGAAAACCTCAACTGAACGCTGTCTAAAGTATACAGCAGACGGAGCGCAGGCAGACCACGCTGCGTAACAAGCCGTCGCAACAGCACTCTCACAAAGTAAGGCAACAAAGCAAAGCAAATCAAGTTTTATTTATATCGCACATTTATAAATGATTGTTGGTGGAGCCTACAGTAGAGACACTTTACAGCAAATACAACAGCTCAGACCCTCTGTCCTCAGACCCTCTGTCCTTAGACCCCCTGTCCTTAGACCCTCTGTCCTTAGACCCCCTGTCCTTAGACCCTCTGTCCTCAGACCCTCTGTCCTCAGACCCTCTGTCCTCAGACCCTCTGTCCTTAGACCCCCTGTCCTTAGACCCTCTGTCCTCAGACCCTCTGTCCTCAGACCCTCTATCCTCAGACCCTCTGTCCTCAGACCCTCTGTCCTCAGACCCTCTGTCCTCAGACCCTCTGTCCTTAGACCCCCTGTCCTTAGACCCTCTGTCCTCAGACCCTCTGTCCTCAGACCCTCTATCCTCAGACCCTCTGTCCTCAGACCCTCTGTCCTTAGACCCTCTGTCCTCAGACCCTCTGTCCTTAGACCCTCTGTCCTTAGACCCCCTGTCCTCAGACCCTCTGTCCTCAGACCTTCTGTCCTCAGACCCTCTGTCCTCAGACCCTCTGTCCTTAGACCCCCTGTCCTCAGACCCTCTGTCCTTACACCCTCTGTCCTTAGACCCCCTGTCCTTAGACCCTCTGTCCTCAGACCCTCTGTCCTCAGACCCTCTGTCCTTAGACCCTCTGTCCTTAGACCCCCTGTCCTCAGACCCTCTGTCCTCAGACCCTCTGTCCTCAGACCCTCTGTCCTTAGACCCTCTGTCCTTAGACCCCCTGTCCTCACACCCTCTGTCCTTACACCCTCTGTCCTTAGACCCCCTGTCCTTAGACCCTCTGTCCTCAGACCCTCTGTCCTCAGACCCTCTATCCTCAGACCCTCTGTCCTCAGACCCTCTGTCCTTAGACCCTCTGTCCTCAGACCCTCTGTCCTTAGACCCTCTGTCCTTAGACCCCCTGTCCTCAGACCCTCTGTCCTTAGACCCTCTGTCCTTAGACCCTCTGTCCTCAGACCCTCTGTCCTCAGACCCTCTGTCCTCAGACCCTCTGTCCTCAGACCCTCTGTCCTCAGACCCTCTGTCCTCAGACCCTCTGTCCTTAGACCCTCTGTCCTTACACCCTCTGTCCTTAGACCCCTGTCCTTACACCCTCTGTCCTCAGACCCTCTGTCATTAGACCCTCTGTCCTTAGACCCTCTGTCCTTAGACCCTCTGTCCTCAGACCCTCTGTCCTCAGACCCTCTGTCCTCAGACCGTCTGTCCTCAGACCCTCTGTCCTTAGACCCTCTGTCCTCAGACCCTCTATCCTTAGACCCTCTGTCCTCAGACCCTCTGTCCTTAGACCCTCTGTCCTTAGACCCTCTGTCCTTAGACCCTCTGTCCTTAGACCCTCTGTCCTCAGACCCTCTGTCCTCAGACCCTCTGTCCTCAGACCCTCTGTCCTTAGACCCTCTGTCCTTAGACCTCTGTCCTTAGACCCTCACACCGTACAAGGAAACACTTCCAGAGAAAACCCACAGTTTAAAGGGAACATGGGAGAAACCTCAGGGAGAGCAACAGAGGAGGGATCCCTCTCCCAGGACGGACAGACGTGCAATAGATGCCGTGTGTAAATTGAAAAGATAATACATTTTACAGCATATACACCGAATGTTAGGAAAAGCATGTGTCTGTAATAAGAAGATGAATCCACGAGGATGTCAGCTACAATCCTGAGGAAGCCTTCAGGGAAGCAGACGAGACCCAAGGCAGGACCGCAGAGACAGGTTCAGCCACGACCCGAAGTCCACGACTTAATCCAGAACTCAGGATAGAGGATCCAAGACACAGGACTACAGCAAGAGGATCAGACTCGACTCCGGATCCCGGCGTAGATATAGATACAAAACAAGAACAAAGATTTGGATGGGTTAATCGGAACAAGAGAATACACAGACACAGACAGACAGAAGAACAAGCACTCCCTTAGAATAGGTTGAGGGCAAAGGGTAGCAAGTGAGAGAGTAAGAAACATAGGTGGAGAGGCACACTCAGGGAACAAGGTCCCCACTGGAGCCTTAGTTGGACATTGATGAGAGATAGTGAGGTGCGCTGTGTCTACGAATCGTAACACTCCCCGGCCTGTCTAAGCCACTCTGCTAACCGTTTCCCTCTAATAAACCTCGAGAGGTCAGAGAGGGAAAAGGTCCTGGGTAAAAGTTATTCTTGATAAGAGAAGCCTAGAAGGCCAGAGAGAAAAAGCGAGTTTTAAGTGTTGATTTAAAAACCCCAGGGTCCGGGCCGACCTCACATGGAGGGGCAGAGTGTTCCAGAGCCTGGGGCCAGCCGCTGCGAAGGCTCGATACCCTCGGGTTTTAAGCCTGATCTTAGGCACTACCAACAGCAGCTGATCAGCCGACCTTAAGGCTCTGCCTGGGGTGTAGCGATGGAGGAGTTCGGCTATATAGGAGGAGCCAGCCCATTTAGGGCTTTGAAAACAAATAAAAGGAGTTTAAAATCAATTCTGAACCGAACTGGAAGCCAGTGCAGTGAGGCCAGAATTGGGGTGATGTGGTCACGCTTTTTATGGCCAGTGAGAAGACGTGCAGCTGCGTTCTGAACTAGCTGCAGGCGTCTAATTGAGGCCTGGTCCATACCCACACACAGAGCGTTGCAGTAATCCAGTCTCGAGGTAACAAAGGCGTTAATAACCCTTTCTAGGTCTTTAAAAGATAAAAAACGACTTGGTCTTAGCCAATAGTCGTATTTTGAAAAAGCAGGTCTTGACTACGGTGCTAACCTGCTTATCAAATGTAAAGGCGCTGTTGAAGGTCACTCCAAGGTTCATGACAGAGGGGAGGATGTTTTCATTGAGGGAGCCCAGAATATCAACCGGAGAGGCTGGAGGTCGGGGTCCAAAAAAGATGACCTTGTTGAGGTTGAGGACATTTTGGCTCAGCCAGGATTTGATCTCTGTTCATCAACTGCTGTAGTGAGTTGGCATTTTGATTGAGAGGCAGGTACATCTGTACATCATCAGCGTAACAATGGAAGGGGAGATTATGTTTAGTGAGAATTGAACCTAGGGGCAGTATGTACAATAGAAAAAGGATGGGGCCCAGAATAGAGCCTTGGGGAACCCCACAGGTAAGAGGGGCTTTGGCAGAGGAGAAGGCACCCAACTGCACTAAGAAGCTACGGTCTGTCAGGTAGGACCTGAACCATGCAAGGGCAGAGCCTGTGATGCCTGCGGACTGTTCAAGCCGTGACAACAGGATGCTATGGTCCACAGTGTCAAAGGCAGCAGTTAAGTCTAACGGCACCAAAACAGCTGGGCTGCCTGAGTCGGCGGCTAAGAGCAGATCATTAAACTCTTCAAAGGGCTGTTTCAGTGCTGTGCATGGGTTTGAAGCCAGACTGAAACATTTCGTGGATGCCATGCATGGTTAAGAACGACTGCAGCTGGGCGTAGACTACTCGCTCCAGGGCTTTAGATAAAAAGGGTAGCTGGGAAATGGGCCTGAAATGTGCGAGAATGGAGGGATCGAGATTTTTCTTTTTAAGTAGTGGCTGGACCACGGCATGTTTGAAGGCAGCTGGGACACATCCTGAGCTAAGAGAGGTGTTTACAAGCAATACAACACTTGCTCCAACTGATTCAATCAAGTACATAACACACAATAAACACCGGAGAAACATACCAACGACGTCTCTGGAGCCTCACACACACTGTCGCCAACTTCTCCCTCCGTGGCTTTGGGAACAAGACAATTCCTGCCCCTTTGGTTGCCGTGTTACCGGAAGCGGCATTGATATGTTTTTAATGACAGCTCGCTTATTAAGAAAAGTAGCCTACGCTATTCAAAAAAATTAAAATGAATACCCCCTCTTGGTATTGAACACCTATAATAACAATAATCTAAATGAAAATATGTCTGTCTATCTATCTATCTGTCGGTCTGTTTACCTGTCTCTCTTCCTCTCTCTCTACCTGTCTGTCAGTACGCTGCAGGACGACTTCTTCATCGTCCATGAGGAAGAGTACGACAGCGTCCTTCAGAGCGTCTTTAAGACGGAGTTCCTGAGTCTGCTGGTGAAACGCGTCCAGGAGAAAACGGAGAAGAAGCTGCCGCTGAAGTTCAACAACCTGTCAGTGACCGCTCTCCTGTGAGATTAACAACCTGTGTCTCCACACTGAACTGATCCTCTGTCCTCTGTCCTCCCACAGTCTGGAGTTCAAGGTGAAGAAGGGGGGTTGGGGTCCGTTCAGCTCCTCGGGGTCCCGGCACATCCAGTTCCAGGCGGGTCAGGGGGACGAGGTGGTCTTTAAGCCCAGCGGGAAGGTCCTGCAGGTCTCCGTCGGACCGGGTCTGCCCAAAAACTCCAGTAAGTTCTGACTGGACTTGCCACAAGTTCTACACTTTCGGGACGTTTCTCAATGTCGAGTACACCTGCTGCTGCAGAGCCACTATTTCAAGTATACTACGTCATCGAGTGGCGCCGAAGGACTGTTTAAATGCCCAGCATTCTGCGCCACTCGATGACTATATACTTGAAATAGTGGCTCTGCAGCAGGTTTACTCAACATTGAGAAACGGCCCCTGTGTGCTGCCCCTCACTTCCTGCGTGCTGCCCCTCACTTCCTGCGTGCTGCCCCTCACTTCCTGCGTGCTGCCCCTCACTTCCTGCGTGCTGCCCCTCACTTCCTGCGTGCTGCCCCTCACTTCCTGCGTGCTGCCCCTCACTTCCTGCGTGCTGCCCCTCACTTCCTGCGTGCTGCCCCTCACTTCCTGCGTGCTGCCCCTCACTTCCTGCGTGCTGCCCCTCACTTCCTGGGTGCTGCCCCTCACTTCCTGCGTGCTGCCCCTCACTTCCTGCGTGCTGCCCCTCACTTCCTGCGTGCTGCCCCTCACTTCCTGCGTGCTGCCCCTCACTTCCTGCGTGCTGCCCCTCACTTCCTGCGTGCTGCCCCTCACTTCCTGCGTGCTGCCCCTCACTTCCTGCGTGCTGCCCCTCACTTCCTGCGTGCTGCCCCTTGTGGAGGAAATTCTTAAGAGAAACTGATAAATGATTCGTGGACAAAGTCTGTCTTTTGTTATATGTAATAAAGAAAGTCAATATAAAGTGAGATGGCTCTGAAATGCAGGAGCAGAGCTGCCTCCTCCTCCTCCTCCTCCTCCTCCTCCTCCTCCTCCTCCTCCTCCTCCTCCTCCTCCTCCTCCTCCTCCTCCTCCTCCTCCTCCTCCTCCTCCTCAGAGGATGGAGAGGTTCTGCTTTCAGTCTCTCTGTGTATGCATGAGAGGAACCAGCTGCTCCTCCATCCCATCATTAAACCATTAACCCTCCAGTCCTTAACCCTTTAATCCCCCTTTTGCTCTTCCTTGGCCTCCTGATGTGTAAACCCTAACATCTGTCTCTGTTAAACACACACAAGACTACAAATACACTTTCAGAGTATAAGACTATATGTTATAAATGATGATATGATCATTTGACATGACACCCCTCACTTCCTGTCTTGCTATCTTATTGCAGGACCGACAAGGAAGGACAACCGCAAGAGTCGCTACATGGGGAAACAGACCCCCTCCAGCCAGAACAGCTCAGGTACCAGAAACCACCAAAACAGACTGAAAATGTGACCTGACTGGTTTTCCTACAGAACCGCAGGAACCTCAGGGTCCGGCAGCACCGTCAGATGTAACGCTGTTAGCAGCCGGTAGAGCTTTCATAGAGTTGCATTATGATGCATTCAAGAGCCTTTCAGTAAAAATGCTTGTCTGGTAAAGTTATATCATCACGTTTTCATGATGTGTTCACATGGAAGGAGGCTCTGAGAGTAAAAGCCATATCAGTTCTGGACCAGCCGGTAAAGGTCCGGATCACTGCAGGTTATAGCTGATGGATGCATGGTCATCTTTTTGGTCAAAGCGTTACTCCTTTGCCGCTCTCTGACTGTTTACATATTGTACCTTGGTTCATGTTTCCCCGTTAACCGTTACCTGGGGGGTTCCTTTAGGGCCTTTCATTTGTCCAATGTGAGGGTGTAAGGACAGAGGCTGGTGTATTCTGTATCAACTGTAAAGCCCCCTTAGACAAATGTTGGATATTGGGCTACATAAATTAACGTTGACTTTTATTGAACCAAAACCCGCTCAAACCTGATTGGTCTATTCTTCTGGGACTACAATCAGAAACCAGAACTTGTTAATACCAAAAGCTCCTTGTTGCCACAGATTGTGTTCACAGAGATTACGGCCTGACCCACGGTGTTTTTTTCTCCAAAGATTCAAAGGTGTTATTTTCATGCTCAGCAGTTTCAGTGGAATTGCATTTAGCTGACGCTTTTATCCAAAGTGACTAAAGACAATAAGTACATTCGACCAACAAAATACAAACTTGAAGAAAACAGAATCATAAAGTACATCAGGTTTCATAGAGCCAAACATTTCAAGTGCTACTCAACTGGCTTTAGATAAGCCAGCCCTTTATTAGTATAAAAGTGCTTTGTTAATAGTTCTATCGCTCGAAGTGGAGTCGAAAGAGATGAGTTTTCAGTCTGGAAGGTGTGTAAGCTATCTGCCGTCCTGATGTCAATGGGGAGCTCATTCCACCATCTTGGAGCCAGGACAGCAAACCCACGTGTTTTCGCCGATGGGAAACTTGGGGTCCCCCTCGCAGCGAGGGTGCAGCGAGTCGTTTGGCTGATGCAGAGCGTAGTGCACGCGCTGGGGTGTACGGTTTAACCATGTCCTGGATGTAGGAAGGGCCAGATCCATTCGCAGCATGGTAAGCAAGTACCAGTGTCTTGAAGTGGATTCTAGCAGTTACCGGAAGCCAGTGAAGGGAGCGGAGGAGCGGAGTGGTGTGGGAACATTTAGGAAGGTTGAAGACCAGACGAGCCGCTGCATTCTGGATGAGCTGCAGAGGTCGGATGGCACATGCAGGTAGACCAGCCAGGAGGGAGTTGCAGTAGTCTAGGCGTAAGATGACGAGAGCCTGGACCAGAACCTGAGTCGCTTTCTGAGTCAGCTGGGGACGTATCTTCCTGATGTTGTAAAGCGTGTATCTGCAGCAGCGGGTTGTAGCAGCGATGTTTGCAGTGAAGGACAGGTTGTTATCTAGGGTCACACCCAGATTCCTTGCAGTCTGAGTCGGGGAAACAACAGAGGTGCCGATGTTGATTGTTAGGTCAAGAGTGGGACAATCTTTTCCCGGAAGGAAGAGCAGCTCAGTCTTGTCAAGGTTGAGCTTGAGGTGGTGAGCAGACATCCACTGAGAGATGTCAGCTAGACAAGCAGAGATGCGTGCGACGACCTGGGTCTCTGAGCGGGGAAAGGAGATAATTAATTGGGTGTCGTCAGCGTAGCAGTGGTAAGAAAAACCATGCGGGCTAATGACTGATCCGAGCGAGTTTGTGTACAAGGAGAAGAGGAGGGGACCAAGAACAGAGCCCTGAGGGACCCCCGTAGTTAATTGACAAGGGTCGGACTCAGACCCTCTCCAAGTAACCCTGTAGGTAACTTCTGACCTGAGCTCCTCCAGCGATGCAACATATATAATAACATACTAACATACAAATAAAAGGAAATCAATAGTCCGAATGGACCTTTACTCCCAGCGGCTCAGGAAGAAAGCCCTCAGGATTATCAAAGACCCCCATCACCCCAGCCACAAACGGTTCTGTCTGCTGCCATCTGGCAGGTGTTACCGCAGCATCAGGACTAAAACCACCAGACTCAGAGAAGGTTTAAGGACTTAAACCACCAGACTCAGGGACAGTTTCAGTACTAAAACCACCAGACTCAGGGACAGCATCAGGACTAAAACCACCAGACTCAGAGACAGTTTCAGGACTAAAACCACCAGACTCAGAGACAGTTTCAGGACTAAAACCACCAGACTCAGGGACAGTTTCAGGTCTAAAACCAGCAGACTCAGAGACAGTTTCAGGACTAAAACCACCAGACTCAGGAACAGTTTCAGGACTAAAACCACCAGACTCAGAGACAGTTTCAGGACTAAAACCACCAGACTCAGGAACAGTTTCAGGTCTAAAACCAGCAGACTCGAGGACAGTTTCAGGTCTAAAACCACCAGACTCAGAGACAGTTTCAGGACTAAAACCACCAGACTCAGGAACAGTTTCAGGACTAAAACCACCAGACTCAGGGACAGTTTCAGGTCTAAAACCACCAGACTCAGGAACAGTTTCAGGACTAAAACCACCAGACTCAGAGACAGTTTCAGGACTAAAACCACCAGACTCAGGGACAGTTTCAGGTCTAAAACCACCAGACTCAGGGGACAGTTTCAGGTCTAAAACCACCAGACTCAGAGACAGTTTCAGGACTAAAACCACCAGACTCAGGGACAATTTCAGGTCTAAAACCACCAGACTCAGAGACAGCATCAGGACTAAAACCACCAGACTCAGAGACAGCATCAGGACTAAAACCACCAGACTCAGAGACAGTTTCAGGTCTAAAACCACCAGACTCAGAGACAGCTTCAGGACTAAAACCACCAGACTCAGAGACAGTTTCAGGTCTAAAACCACCAGACTCAGAGACAGCATCAGGACTAAAACCACCAGACTCAGAGACAGTTTCAGGACTAAAACCACCAGACTCAGGGACAGTTTCAGGTCTAAAACCACCAGATTCAGGGACAGTTTCAGGACTAAAACCACCAGATTCAGAGACAGTTTCAGGTCTAAAACCACCAGACTCAGAGACAGCATCAGGACTAAAACCACCAGACTCAGGGACAGTTTCAGGACTAAAACCACCAGACTCAGAGACAGCTTCAGGACTAAAACCAGCAGACTCAGGGACAGTTTCAGGACTAAAACCACCAGACTCAGAGACAGCATCAGGACTAAAACCACCAGACTCAGAGACAGCATCAGGACTAAAACCACCAGACTCAGGGACAGTTTCAGGACTAAAACCACCAGACTCAGAGACAGTTTCAGGTCTAAAACCACCAGACTCAGGGACAGTTTCAGGTCTAAAACCACCAGACTCAGAGACAGTTTCAGGTCTAAAACCACCAGACTCAGGGACAGTTTCAGGACTAAAACCAGAAGACTCAGAGACAGTTTCAGGTCTAAAACCACCAGACTCAGAGACAGTTTCAGGACTAAAACCACCAGACTCAGAGACAGTTTCAGGACTAAAACCAGCAGACTCAGAGACAGTTTCAGGTCTAAAACCACCAGACTCAGAGACAGTTTCAGGTCTAAAACCACCAGACTCAGAGACAGTTTCAGGTCTAAAACCACCAGACTCAGAGACAGCTTCAGGTCTAAAACCACCAGACTCAGCGACAGTTTCAGGACTAAAACCACCAGACTCAGAGACAGCATCAGGTCTAAAACCACCAGACTCAGAGACAGTTTCAGGACTAAAACCACCAGACTCAGGAACAGTTTCAGGACTAAAACCACCAGACTCAGAGACAGTTTCAGGTCTAAAACCACCAGACTCAGGAACAGTTTCAGGTCTAAAACCACCAGACTCATCGACAGTTTCAGGACTAAAACCAGCAGACTCAGAGACAGTTTCAGGTCTAAAACCACCAGACTCAGGAACAGTTTCAGGACTAAAACCACCAGACTCAGGGACAGTTTCAGGTCTAAAACCACCAGACTCAGAGACAGCATCAGGACTAAAACCACCAGACTCAGAGACAGTTTCAGGACTAAAACCACCAGACTCAGGGACAGTTTCAGGTCTAAAACCACCAGACTCAGAGACAGCTTCAGGACTAAAACCACCAGACTCAGAGACAGTTTCAGGTCTAAAACCACCAGACTCAGAGACAGCATCAGGACTAAAACCACCAGACTCAGAGACAGTTTCAGGTCTAAAACCACCAGACTCAGGGACAGTTTCAGGTCTAAAACCACCAGACTCAGAGACAGTTTCAGGACTAAAACCACCAGACTCAGAGACAGTTTCAGGACTAAAACCACCAGACTCAGGGACAGTTTCAGGACTAAAACCACCAGACTAAGAGACAGTTTCAGGACTAAAACCACCAGACTCAGGGACAGTTTCAGGTCTAAAACCACCAGACTCAGAGACAGTTTCAGGTCTAAAACCAACAGACTCAGAGACAGTTTCAGGACTAAAACCACCAGACTCAGAGACAGCATCAGGTCTAAAACCACCAGACTCAGAGACAGTTTCAGGACTAAAACCACCAGACTCAGGCACAGTTTCAGGACTAAAACCACCAGACTCAGAGACAGTTTCAGGTCTAAAACCACCAGACTCAGGAACTGTTTCAGGACTAAAACCACCAGACTCAGGGACAGTTTCAGGACTAAAACCACCAGACTCAGGGACAGTTTCAGGACTAAAACCACCAGACTCAGAGACAGTTTCAGGTCTAAAACCACCAGACTCAGGGACAGTTTCAGGACTAAAACCAGCAGACTCAGAGACAGTTTCAGGTCTAAAACCACCAGACTCAGGGACAGTTTCAGGACTAAAACCACCAGACTCAGAGACAGTTTCAGGACTAAAACCACCAGACTCAGGAACAGTTTCAGGACTAAAACCAGCAGACTCAGAGACAGTTTCAGGTCTAAAACCACCAGACTCAGAGACAGTTTCAGGTCTAAAACCACCAGACTCAGAGACAGTTTCAGGTCTAAAACCACCAGACTCAGAGACAGCTTCAGGTCTAAAACCACCAGACTCAGAGACAGTTTCAGGACTAAAACCACCAGACTCAGAGACAGCATCAGGTCTAAAACCACCAGACTCAGAGACAGTTTCAGGACTAAAACCAGCAGACTCAGAGACAGTTTCAGGACTAAAACCACTAGACTCAGAGACAGTTTCAGGACTAAAACCACCAGACTCAGAGACAGTTTCAGGACTAAAACCACCAGACTCAGGAACAGTTTCAGGACTAAAACCACCAGACTCAGGGACAGTTTCAGGTCTAAAACCACCAGACTCAGAGACAGCATCAGGACTAAAACCACCAGACTCAGAGACAGTTTCAGGACTAAAACCACCAGACTCAGGGACAGTTTCAGGTCTAAAACCACCAGACTCAGAGACAGCTTCAGGACTAAAACCACCAGACTCAGAGACAGTTTCAGGTCTAAAACCACCAGACTCAGAGACAGCATCAGGACTAAAACCACCAGACTCAGAGACAGTTTCAGGTCTAAAACCACCAGACTCAGGGACAGTTTCAGGTCTAAAACCACCAGACTCAGAGACAGTTTCAGGACTAAAACCACCAGACTCAGAGACAGTTTCAGGACTAAAACCACCAGACTCAGGGACAGTTTCAGGACTAAAACCACCAGACTCAGAGACAGTTTCAGGACTAAAACCACCAGACTCAGGGACAGTTTCAGGTCTAAAACCACCAGACTCAGAGACAGTTTCAGGTCTAAAACCAACAGACTCAGAGACAGTTTCAGGACTAAAACCACCAGACTCAGAGACAGCATCAGGTCTAAAACCACCAGACTCAGAGACAGTTTCAGGACTAAAACCAGCAGACTCAGAGACAGTTTCAGGACTAAAACCAGCAGACTCAGAGACAGTTTCAGGTCTAAAACCACCAGACTCAGGGACAGTTTCAGGACTAAAACCACCAGACTCATCGACAGTTTCAGGACTAAAACCAGCAGACTCAGAGACAGTTTCAGGTCTAAAACCACCAGACTCAGGAACAGTTTCAGGACTAAAACCACCAGACTCAGGGACAGTTTCAGGTCTAAAACCACCAGACTCAGAGACAGCATCAGGACTAAAACCACCAGACTCAGAGACAGTTTCAGGACTAAAACCACCAGACTCAGGGACAGTTTCAGGTCTAAAACCACCAGACTCAGAGACAGCTTCAGGACTAAAACCACCAGACTCAGAGACAGTTTCAGGTCTAAAACCACCAGACTCAGAGACAGCATCAGGACTAAAACCACCAGACTCAGAGACAGTTTCAGGTCTAAAACCACCAGACTCAGGGACAGTTTCAGGTCTAAAACCACCAGACTCAGAGACAGTTTCAGGACTAAAACCACCAGACTCAGAGACAGTTTCAGGACTAAAACCACCAGACTCAGGGACAGTTTCAGGACTAAAACCACCAGACTCAGAGACAGTTTCAGGACTAAACCACCAGACTCAGGGACAGTTTCAGGTCTAAAACCACCAGACTCAGAGACAGTTTCAGGTCTAAAACCAACAGACTCAGAGACAGTTTCAGGACTAAAACCACCAGACTCAGAGACAGCATCAGGTCTAAAACCACCAGACTCAGAGACAGTTTCAGGACTAAAACCACCAGACTCAGGCACAGTTTCAGGACTAAAACCACCAGACTCAGAGACAGTTTCAGGTCTAAAACCACCAGACTCAGGAACTGTTTCAGGACTAAAACCACCAGACTCAGGGACAGTTTCAGGACTAAAACCACCAGACTCAGGGACAGTTTCAGGACTAAAACCACCAGACTCAGAGACAGTTTCAGGTCTAAACCACCAGACTCAGGGACAGTTTCAGGACTAAAACCAGCAGACTCAGAGACAGTTTCAGGTCTAAAACCACCAGACTCAGGGACAGTTTCAGGACTAAAACCACCAGACTCAGAGACAGTTTCAGGACTAAAACCACCAGACTCAGGAACAGTTTCAGGACTAAAACCACCAGACTCAGACAGTTTCAGGACTAAAACCAGCAGACTCAGAGACAGTTTCAGGTCTAAAACCACCAGACTCAGAGACAGTTTCAGGTCTAAAACCACCAGACTCAGAGACAGTTTCAGGTCTAAAACCACCAGACTCAGAGACAGCTTCAGGTCTAAAACCACCAGACTCAGAGACAGTTTCAGGACTAAAACCACCAGACTCAGAGACAGCATCAGGTCTAAAACCACCAGACTCAGAGACAGTTTCAGGACTAAAACCAGCAGACTCAGAGACAGTTTCAGGACTAAAACCACTAGACTCAGAGACAGTTTCAGGACTAAAACCACCAGACTCAGAGACAGTTTCAGGACTAAAACCACCAGACTCAGGGACAGTTTCAGGACTAAAACCACCAGACTCAGGGACAGTTTCAGGACTAAAACCACCAGACTCAGGGAAAGTTTAAGGTCTAAAACCACCAGACTCAGGAACAGTTTCAGGACTAAAACCACCAGACTCAGAGACAGTTTCAGGTCTAAAACCACCAGACTCAGGAACAGTTTCAGGTCTAAAACCACCAGACTCATCGACAGTTTCAGGACTAAAACCAGCAGACTCAGAGACAGTTTCAGGTCTAAAACCACCAGACTCAGGAACAGTTTCAGGACTAAAACCACCAGACTCAGGGACAGTTTCAGGTCTAAAACCACCAGACTCAGAGACAGCATCAGGACTAAAACCACCAGACTCAGAGACAGTTTCAGGACTAAAACCACCAGACTCAGGGACAGTTTCAGGTCTAAAACCACCAGACTCAGAGACAGCTTCAGGACTAAAAACCACCAGACTCAGAGACAGTTTCAGGTCTAAAACCACCAGACTCAGAGACAGCATCAGGACTAAAACCACCAGACTCAGAGACAGTTTCAGGTCTAAAACCACCAGACTCAGGGACAGTTTCAGGTCTAAAACCACCAGACTCAGAGACAGTTTCAGGACTAAAACCACCAGACTCAGAGACAGTTTCAGGACTAAAACCACCAGACTCAGGGACAGTTTCAGGACTAAAACCACCAGACTCAGAGACAGTTTCAGGACTAAAACCACCAGACTCAGGGACAGTTTCAGGTCTAAAACCACCAGACTCAGAGACAGTTTCAGGTCTAAAACCAACAGACTCAGAGACAGCATCAGGTCTAAAACCACCAGACTCAGGGACAGTTTCAGGACTAAAACCACCAGACTCAGAGACAGTTTCAGGTCTAAAACCACCAGACTCAGGGACAGTTTCAGGACTAAAACCAGCAGACTCAGAGACAGTTTCAGGTCTAAAACCACCAGACTCAGGGACAGTTTCAGGACTAAAACCACCAGACTCAGAGACAGTTTCAGGACTAAAACCACCAGACTCAGGAACAGTTTCAGGACTAAAACCACCAGACTCAGAGACAGTTTCAGGACTAAAACCAGCAGACTCAGAGACAGTTTCAGGTCTAAAACCACCAGACTCAGAGACAGTTTCAGGTCTAAAACCACCAGACTCAGAGACAGTTTCAGGTCTAAAACCACCAGACTCAGAGACAGCTTCAGGTCTAAAACCACCAGACTCAGAGACAGTTTCAGGACTAAAACCACCAGACTCAGAGACAGCATCAGGTCTAAAACCACCAGACTCAGAGACAGTTTCAGTACTAAAACCACCAGACTCAGAGACAGTTTCAGGACTAAAACCAGCAGACTCAGAGACAGTTTCAGGACTAAAACCACTAGACTCAGAGACAGTTTCAGGACTAAAACCACCAGACTCAGGGACAGTTTCAGGACTAAAACCACCAGACTCAGGGACAGTTTCAGGACTAAAACCACCAGACTCAGGGAAAGTTTAAGGTCTAAAACCACCAGACTCAGGGACAGTTTCAGGACTAAAACCACCAGACTCAGGGACAGCATCAGGTCTAAAACCACCAGCCTTGAAACTTGGACCTTAAACTTCCTCTCTGTTCTTTGCGTTTCAGCTTCTCGCCCCAGAGGAGGCGGGCCCTCGGGCAGAGACTCCTCCTCGCGCCGCTCCCTGCTGAGGCAGTCCACCATGGAGCAGCCCAGCCTGCCCCGCATACAGAACCAGCTCCGCCACGACCAGCCGACGCACAAACAACACGACATGGGCTTCATGAACGTCCCCGACCAGGGCGCCGCGGGGTGAGACAGCCCGTTGGACTGCATCTGATGTCCCACTCACAACATTAGAGAATAACACAAAGAGGAATCAGTGAAGCACAGAGATGGTTGAAGTTAAATATGATATTGCAGCACAGCACTATAAGAGACACATTACCTTGCAGCAAAGCAGTCAATAGTGTAATGGACCAAAAAACCTCACAGGTGTTATACCCTTCAAACAGCGTACCTGGCAGACATGTTCTATCCTTATAGTCATCACATGTTGCTTCCTCTGTCCCCTCTTTACATGATCCCAGGTGGCATGACCTTATTTAGCAGCTTCCACACAATGTCGACGACTGCTGGTGAAGAAATAGATGGGCCTCTCTCCGTTAAACTAAATGCATTACTCACTAGCATGGTTTAAAACTAGGGCTGTCAGTCGATTAAAATAGTTAATCGCGATTAATCGCACATTTTTTATCTGTGCTAAATGTACCTTAGAGGAATATTTTTCAAGTTTGTAATACTCTTATCAACATATGAGTGGACAAATATGCTTTATGCTAATGTTTATTATCATTTGAACAATGCGTGCGTGCGTGCGTGCGTGCGTGCGTGCGTGCGTGCGTGCGTGCGCAACTCAAGGCTCGAACGGGAGCTGCCTGGACGCTGCGATCATGTTGCACACTATCCGTGCTGAGTGTGCTGACTTCTCGTCAATGTCCCACTGTCTGGCTTCCTGCATAAAGTCAAGTGCTCGGCACAGTTGTGGCGAAATGTCGCTCCTCTGTTTTCATTTAAACAGCTCCATATCCGTTAGCGCAGCTAGCTAGCATCAGATGCTAACAACAACAATACACGTAAGGTCTCTCTCTCGCTCGGGCCACACATACACACACCCTCCCGGTCCTCCAGATGGCCAGTCGGTGCCTGCCGGTGAGCGTGGAAGTGTGGTCTGCTACAAGCGGGCAGCAGAAGCGGGGCTGTCAGCATCAGCTTGTAGACGGTATTTTAAACTCGATGCGCTCTGAAACTACGGGGCGGCCGAGGAAAAAAAATACACATGCGTTAATCGCGTTAAAATAATTAGTGGCGTTAATTTTTTTTTGCGTGAACGCGTTATTAACGTGTTAACTTGACAGCCCTATTTAAAGCACATGATTACAGGG